GTTTATAGTATTCTCTGATGGTAGTTTGTATTTCTGTGGGGTCGGTGGTGATATCCCCTTTATCATTTTTAATCATGCGATTTGATTCTTCTCTTTCTCTTCTTTTATTAGTCTTGCTAGTGGTCTGTCAATTTTGTTGATCTTTTCATAAAACCAACTCCTGGATTCATTGATTTTTTGGAGGGTTTTTGTGTCTCTATCTCCTTCAGTTCTGCCTGATCTTTTAGTTATTTCTGCCTCTGCTAGCTTTCTAATGTGTTTGCTCTTGCTTCTCTAGTTCTTTTAATTGCGATGTTAGAGTGTCAATTTTAGATCTTTCCTGCTTTCTCTTGTGTGTATTTAGTGCTATAAATTTCCCTCTACACACTGCTTTAAATGTGTCCCAGAGATTCTGGTATGTTGTATCTTGTTCTCATTGGTTTCAAAGAACATCTTTATTTCTGCCTTCATTTTTTCATGTACCCAGTAGTCATTCAGGAGCAGGTTGTTCAGTTTCCATGTAGTTGAGCGGTTTTGATTGAGTTTCTTAGTCCTGAGTTTTAATTTGATTGCACTGTGGTCTGAGAGAAAGTTTGTTATAATTTCTGTTCTTGTACATTTGCTGAGGAGGCTACTTCCCCGATTACGTGGTCAATTTTGGAGTAAGTACGATGTGGTGCTGAGAAGAATGTATATTCTGTTGATTTGGGGTGGAGAGTTCTATAGATGTTCATTAGGTCTGCTTGCCGTGAGATGAGTTCAATTCCTGGATATCCTTGTTAACTTTCTGTCTCGTTGATCTGTCTAATGTTGACAGTGGAGTGTTAAGTCTCCTAATATTATTGCAGGAGTCTAAGTCTCTTTGTAAGTCTCTAAGGACTTGCTTTATGAATCTGGGTGCTCCTGTATTGGGTGCATATATATTTAGGATAGTTAGCTCTTCCTGTTGAATTGATCCCTTTAACACAGTGTAATGGGCCTTCTTTGTCTCTTTTGGATCTTTTGATGGTTTAAAGTCTGTTTTATCAGAGACTAGTATTGCAACCCCCGCTTTTTTTGTGTTCTCCATTTGCTTGGTAAATCTTCCTCCATCCCTCTATTTTGAGCCTATGTATGTCTCTGCGTGTGAGATGGGTCTCCCTCTGGAATACAAGTGCAGACTGATGGGTCTTGACTCTTCTTTATCCAGTTTGCCAGTCTGTGTCTTTTAATTGGAGCATTTAGTCCATTTACATTTAAGGTTAAGATTGTTATATGTGAACTTGATCCTGCCATGATGATATTAACTGGTTATTTTGCTCATGAAGGATGCAGTTTCTTCCTAGCCTTGATGGTCTTTACATTTTGGCATGTTTTTGCAATGGCTGGTACCGGTTGTTCCTTTCCATGTTTAGTGCTTCCTTCAGGGTCTCTTGTAAGGCAGGCCTAGTGGTGACAAAATCTCTAAGCATTTGTTTATCTGTAAAGGATTTTATTTCTCCTTCACTTATGAAACTTAAGTTTGGCTGGATATAAAATTCTGGGTTTAAAATTCTTTTCTTTAAGAATGCTGAATATTGGCCCCCACTCTCTTCTGGCTTGAAGAGTTTCTGCCGAGAGATCTGCTGTTAGTCTGATGGGCTTTCCTTTGTGGGTAACCTGACCTTTCTCTCTGGCTGCCCTTAAGATTTTTTCCTTCATTTCAACTTTGGTGAATCTGCAATTATGTGTCTTGGAGTTGATTTTCCCCGAGGAGTATCTTTGTGGCGTTCTCTCTGTATTTCCTGGATTTGGAATGTTGGCCTGTCTCTACTAGGGCTGGGAAGTTCTCCTGGATGATATCCTGAAGAGTGTTTTCCAACTTGGTTCCATTTTCCCACACTTAGGCACCTAATCAGGCGTAGAGACGGTCTTTTACATAATCCATACTCTGCAGGTTGTTCATTTCTTTTCTTCTTTTTCTTTGGTTTCTTCGCCCATTTCATTCATTTGATCCTCCATCGCTGGACATTCTTTCTCTCTTCCAGTTGATCGAGACGGTTACTGAAGTTTCTGTGCATTTGTCACGCATTCGTGGCCATGGTTTTCGTCTCTTTCATTTCGCTTGTGAGCTTCTCTGCATTAATTACTCTAGCCATCAATTCTTCCACTTTTTTTCAAGATTTTTAGTTTCTTTACACGGGTACGTGAATTCCTCCTTTAGCTCTGAGAAATTTGATGGACTAAAGCCTTCTTCATCTCGCTGAAGTCATTCTCCGTCCAGCTTTGATCCGTTGCTGGCGATGAGCTGCGCTCCTTTGCCGGGGGAGATGCGCCTTATTTTTTGAATTTCCAGCCTTTCTGCCCTGCTTTTTCCCATCTTTGTGGTTTTATCTGCCTCTGGTCTTTGATGATGGTGATGTACTGATGGGGTTTTGGTGCAGGTGTCCTTCCTGTTTGATAGCTTTCCTTCTAACAGTCAGGATCCTCACAGGTTGTAGCTGTAGGAGATTGCTTTGAGGCCCACTCTGGTGACCCTGTTTGCTCGGGTATCAGCAGCAGAGGCTGCAGAAGATAGAATATTTCGGAACAGCGAGTGTACCTGTCTGATTCTTGCTTTGGAATCTTCCTCTCAGGGGTGTAATTTCACCTGTGAGGTGTGGGTGTCGACTGCTCCTAGTGGGGATGTCTCCAGTTAGGCTACTCAGGGTCAGGGGACCCACTTGAGCAGGGAGTCTGTCCCTTCTCAGATCTCAACCTCCGTGCTGGGAGATCCACTGCTCTCTTCAAAGCTGTCAGACAAAGTCAAGCTATGCCTGCAGAGCTGCTGCGCTTTGTTATTATTTACTGAGCCCTGTCCCCAGGAGGTGGAGCTCACAGAGACAGGCAGGTTTTCTGAGCTGCTGTGAGCTCCACCTGTGCCCGAGCTTCCCAGCAGTTTTGTTTACCTACTTAAGCCTCAGCAATGGCGGGCGCCCCTTCCCCAGCCTCGCTGCTGCCTTGCTGGTAGATCACAGACTGCTGTGCTAGCAATGAGGCAGGCTCCGTGGGTGTGAAGGCACACTCCCGGCCAGGTGTGTGATATGATCTCCTGGTGTGCCTGTCTGCTTAAAGCGCAGTATTGGGGTGGAGTTACCCGATTTTCCAGGTGTTGTGTGTCTCAGCCCTGGCTAGGAAAAAGGGATTCCTTCCTTGCGCTTTCCAGGTGAGGCAAATGCCTCGCCCTGCTTCAGCTCTTGCTGGTCGGCTGCAGCAGCTGACCAGCACCGATCGTCTGGCACTCCCCAGTGAGATGAACCCAGTACCTCAGTTGAAAATGCAGAAATCGCCGGTCTTCTGTGTCGCTCGCGCTGGGAGTTGGAGACTGGAGCTGTTCCTATTCGGCCATCTTGCTCCGCCCCCTCAGGTCTGGGTTATTTCTAACACTCCCTCCTCCAAGAAGACAACTTTGCCTCCTGCCCCTTGACATTCTTTCTTCTTGTGGCATCCAGCATTTTCTCTGGTAACTGTGTTGTGGGTATTTTTTGTATTTGGGGAAACTAAAAAATATAGAAAACTGCAAAAAAGAATTACAGTCACCAATATGCTTGCCACTCAGAATCAGACCTAGCAGAGTTTTCCATATTGGCTTTTCTAGGCTTCTATATGCATCTATATCTAATCTGGATCTATGGCTGGATCTATATCTGTAGCATGTGTGTACCTGTATCTTCATCTCTTGTGCTTTTGAAGGGAAAGTACGTTACTCAAGTCCCCGGTGACCAGCACCCTCACTGTGACATCAGATGAGATGTCAATTACAACCCCAGTTGAGGTCACTCTCCTACAGGGGATATGTATCCTTTCTACCTTTAAACATGTTGTTATAGACACGTTCGGAGGCATATAAAATTTATAATTTGGGGGGCACACTGTCTACACAAGTGGGGTTGCGCTGCGCCCATCATCCTGCAAAGTGTTGTTTCATTCAATGGCATAGTTTTGGGCTCTGTTGAGGTTGACACACATGGATGCTGTTTGTTCCATTCAGAAACAGCCCAAGTGTCCAGGCCTTCAACTACACTGATGCGTCCTGAAGGGAAGGGCTGAAGAGACCGCCCTGGGGTCCCCACCCACTACTGCAGCCAGACCTTCTGGGGCTGCCTTCCCTGGGGAGCCTCGAGCAGATGCTGAATGAGCTCCAGGGACTGAGGGCCACTGGACAGCTGCCCCCACATGCCCCCAGCCCACACCACATCACAGAGTGCTCCCATCATTCACAGAGTGCTCCCATCATTCACAGAATGCTCCCACCATTCACAGAGTGCTCCCATCATTCACTGGGCAACAACAGGAGGACATAGATGGAAGAAAAACCTGCTCCTCAGGCCGGAGGCCACAGGGTGACCCTGCTCCCAGCGAGGGAGGTTTGGGCCTGGGGCTTCAGGTCCTCCGGAAGCTCCCTCAGCCCTGCAGGCCTCCTGATGCCAACACGACTCTGCCACATAGGGAGCCAGGGCAGCCACTTCCTGGCTCTGCCTGTTTGGCCAAGTGGCCTTGAGGAAGCCTTGCTCTCTGTCCCCAACACTACATGGGACTTTCAGTGCCCAGTGGATGCCTGACAAGCCTGACATCTGCTGGGGACCAAGGGCTGTTTATCCTTCCCGGGAACTGGAGAGCCAAGGGTCAACACAGCCAGGAGCCTGCCCTCAGGCCAGGACTCTTGCGGGTGGTGTAGACACCCCCCAGCTCTGGCCCTCAAGGGAGATGTGAGCCGTGTGCTTTCTCTCTCCTGTTCTCCCTGAGGAACGCAGGGCCAGCTGCCCACTGTGGCGGCAGCTCGGGCCCAGTCACACTCCTTCACGGGTGATCTCCCTCCCCTGAGGCGCTCCCCTCCACCTCCCAGACAAGCTGCTGGTGCCCAGATTCCTGTCTCAGGGTTTGCTTATGCAGGATCTCGAACTCAGAACCCGTCCCTTCCTGGGTCCGGCTTCTGCTGGGAAGCCAGCCACCTGAGGTGGGGGCTGACGGGCTGGGTGGGGGCCCTGGACTGCACTGGGCCAGCAGATGCAGGGAGGCAGGGAGGAGGAGGAGGCAGGCCATTTATTGAAGAACTGTTCACAGACATGGATACACATAGCCACGGTACCCAGATACCACCCTGGGGCCAGGGAGCACCCAGAAACAGCCCTGGGCTGGCAGCCCAGGCCTGGACATTTGCCCACCATGGGTGGAAGGCTTCTCTTGGTGTAAACCATCCATGACCACCTACGGCACCATCTCTCCTGCCAAGTTGCCCATGGGGGTCTCCAGGAAGAAAACCAGCCTTGGGGGATTCCAAGGCCCAGGGAGGGAGGGAAGCTGCCCACGCCCTCAGGCTGTGCCCAGCCTCATGCTCACCGTTTCTTTCTATGGCCAAAGGGAAGTGGCTGGATGAGGGAGGTCCCTCTGCTGGAGTGAGCAGCACAGCAAGGCTGGGGCCCCCGGTCACATAAACGGATGCAGGGATCCTGGGACCTGGGCTGAATGGGCACCCACTCTGGGGTTTCCTCTGCTCCGGCATAATCCAGGGAACAGTGTGGGAAGGGGTGTGGCACGGGGTGGGGCTGCCATGTCTGGGGGCTTCTGCGTAGCCCAGCAAAGATGCTACAGGAGGAATGGGAGGAGAGGGCTGGGTGGGGGTTGGGGAAGGAGGGGGAGACAGGGCTGCAGTGAAGGCCTTGCTCATCGCAGGGGGTGTGGGAAGCCAGGCTGGGTCACCTCTGGCCCTGCAGAAACAGGGACGGAAGTGGGCGGGCTCAGGCCTGCGCCTCCAGGGCGCGCACGTGCACGCTGGGCAGACAGAACCAAGAGGGTGGCAGCTCCTTGCTGGTGCTGTCCTCGTGGAAGCGGATGTGGAGGAAGAAGTCGCCCGTGTAGAGGAAGAGGAGGGCCCCGAGGCAGGCCGACTGGCCAGATGGCTGTACCTGAGCAGGGAGGAGAAAGACGCGTCAGTCTGGTCAGCAGCATGGGCCACCCAAAGCCCCCAGGAACCTCAGGAACCTGCCTGGACATAGGTGCTATAGGGGAAGTGAGGGCGGCCCAGGCCTGGCTCCAATGCCCCCTCCAGCAGGTCACTGTGCCTCTCCAAGCCAGATTTGTCTTTGAAAGGAGCTGCCAACATTCCCATTCCTGAATTGTTTGGGGGCACAGGGGGTCAGGAGTGTGGGAGGGAGTGAGGGAGAGGTTGGGGCAAAGGGGAACGGAATGACAGCCTGTGTTGGGGCCTGACAGTGAGGGGCTGAGAGGCAGCTTGGGAGGTGGGGGTCAAGGGTGTGGGCTGGAGCCTCTCCATGGGAGGAGCGGCAGGCACGGGATGGGTGACAGTGACATCACAGTGATGCCACAGCAGGGTCCAATCATGGAGTGGCACCCTGTCCTGGGCATAGCTCCCATTCCCTGCACATTTTCCTGCTTCACCAACGCTCAGGGCCTCACTGCCCAGGACAGAGAACGAGGTGAGCTTGTCTAAGTTCCTGCAGTGGGTGGGGCAGGCTCAGACTCAGTGCGCACACGCGACCACAGAACCCCTGCTGCTGTCGTCTGCTGGACGTATGCCGACCCCAAAGCCCACCACCCAGGGAAGGGGGACGAAGACCATGAGGGCCTGGGCCACATGACCAGAGGCTCCCAGACCACCATGCACACCGCCACGCACCGCGTCGAGGTAGAAGGTGCTGGAGCCCACGAAGGAGATGGTGTCGTGCAGGTCGTAGTTGTGCACGCCATTCTGGTGGTCCTGGAAGGGGACCACGGTGAGGGCGAAGGGCCCTACGCTGCGCGGGCTCCGGTTGGTCAGCCGCACTTCCAGGCGCACGGGGTCGCCTACCTGGCAGGCCGCCGCAGACTCACAGTCACACGGCTGTCCGTCCACCAGCACATCTGCAAGGGACACGAGACTGTCAGGGGCTGGGCTGGCCTGCATGGCCCAGCCGGACTACCCCACCCACTCGCTGATTCATGCATTTCTTTCCTCCTTCACCCTTCAAGGCTGCCACCCACTCCCTGCCAGGCTGGGCACTGGGGACACAGATGCGTGACCAGTTCCTGGTCTCCAGAAGAGGAACCTGGCAAAGACAAGTGTGGTGGTTAGAGCTATAACTCAAGGGGTCTGCACTCCACTGGAGGGGCCTCTGGGAGGCCTCCTGGAGCCTCCTACCACAGCCCACCTGGAAGGGGAGGAGCTCTCTTGTGAGTCAGGGGCTCCTGTCTGGGTGAGCGTCTGACACCGTAGAAGTGAGGGCGTGGAAGGGACCCTAAAGTGCCCCAGGTCAGGGGTTAGGTGAGCTTTGGAGCACAGGCAGGCCCGGGGGTCCCTCTCCTCCGGGGGCTGCAAGACCACACACCCCGGGAGGTGGTGTCTTGATCTCATTCCCCAGGAAGAATGCACAATGGGCTCCGGCACTCCCTGCAAAGTGGCTGCACCGTGTTCTCCTCATCCTGTCGGCCTGTCCAGGGGGCTGGACACACAGCCCAGCATAGAACAGGTGCTCAGGGGAGCAGCACAGTTCTGGGAGCAGTGGACCCTGCCAGGTAGGGAGCTGGGCCTGGGAGAAGGAGCATGGATTCAACCCCTTTTCCCTTCCTTGTCCACATGCTCCAGGAGCTTGCAGACAAGGAGGACGCCTGCCAACTGGGCAGCAGCAAGGAAGCAGCCCGAAGCCAGGGTGGGGTGGGGGGTAGTGGGTGTGCCCCCTCTCAGGGAAGTGAGCTGATGGTCAGGGTGGCGGGTTTGATGGCGAGCCCCGAAAGGCATGTGAGAATGTGGCCGCATTGGGGAAGGGCAGAGAAGGGGCTTTGAAGATGTTACCGAGTGAAAGGCCCTATAGGAGCTCATTCTGGATTTGGGCAAGCCCTGCAGTTAGTGACAATGTCCTTATATGGGGCAGAAGATTTGAGGGCGGATTTGCCCTCAAATCCCGGCTTTGGCTGCATCCTATGCTTTTGGATGTGCAGGGTCACCTGCACTGAGTCTGACCAGACCGGGATGAGCCCAGGGGTCCTGAGGCCCTGCCCACTGGGCTATGTATAGTTTCCCTGAGTACTTCCCACAGTGCCTGACATGCAGCAGGCAGCATGAAAATGGGCTTTGTTCTCCCAGCTGGTCTGTTCTGCTGAGACCAGGAGGTAGGACCAGAGGGACCTGAGCTTGATCGCTTCTATCTATGGGGCCCAGGTTATGTCACTACACCGCCTGGGCCTCAGTTTCCTCTTCTGTAACATGGAGCCGACGCTAATGCTAACAGTTGTGATAAGCTCATATCCTTGCCGTGAGGAGCTCAGTCACAGCACGTCCCAGTACCCATGAGCATTTTGAGGGACTCTGTCTTGGGAAGTGCCGTTGGGGCAGTGGCTTTCATCTCCAGCCTTGGTTACCTGTCTGTGCCATGCAGCCCAGCACCGGGAGGCTCCCATCAATCCCCAGCCCTTCTCCCTCCTCTACCTCTGTGCCACCCAAGCCAGGCCTCAGTAAATGTTTCTTGAACAGTGAACCGAACCAAGCGCAGTCTGAGCCACTTGAATAAAAGTGGGGGAGATGGAGAGAACAGATGTCGGGGCGGCCCGGTTGCTGGTTCCATCAAGGGAAAGATACGATTATGTGCAAATCAGTGAAGGGTGGCTGGCTCATTATCGCCCTGCTCTTTTTTTTTTTTTTTTTTTCTTTTTGCAGAGAACTGTGTGGGCTGCTGGGGCAGGAAAGGACTGGTCTGTGGGCTCCTGGGCAGAGCCACCCTGGCCTGCTTGTTTAACCCTTCCTAGCTCCAGTTCTGTACAACCCCTGGGGAAGAGAAAGCTGATGAAGGGTTAGAGCCAGCTCTCCCTGTGAATGCTGCTGGGGGAACCTTTCTTTGCTACTTTCTCTCTAGGAAGAGGGGAAGGAATGTGTGGCACTTAGGTGTGAGGTCAGGGCGGTAGGGGTTGGCAGGGGTTGTGGGCAGAGCAACACCTTGTCAGAGCAGGCGGCCAGGCTGCAGTCCCAACTTTGCCTCTGACTGCCCTTTACACTGGGAAAGACCGTGTGCCAACTGGTGCCCCCTCCATCTCACCTGTGAAACTGGGATAATGATCTTGACCTCCCAGGCTGGGGGCAGGGGTGAAGAGCAGAGAGGACATAGCCGGAGCGGGCGCTCCTGCCACAGGCTCTCCTGTGTGGCCGTCACTGGAGAAGGAGGGCAGCGCTCTGGAATGGCAGGCAGCACCTGTCTTGCCCTCTGCTCTGTCCCCGCTCCCAGGGTGACCAACTATCCCAGTATGCCCAGGGTTAGTTTGGCTTTAGCCTGCATTGCAGGAAACCCTCAGTGCCAGGCAAACTGGGACGGTGGGTCACGTTACCCCGAGGTCTGGCATCCACAATGACTGCTGACCAAGTTAATGCATTTTTGTGCTCAGCGAGCAGCCGTTTCCTTCCTTGCACCACAGCTGGGGCAGCCCCTACAACTCCAGCAGCTCAGATCCAGGCACACAGGCCCCAAATCCCTGACGCTGACTCCTTCCCATGACCCAGAGGAAAAGCAAACCTTCCTATGACGGGGCAGAGCAGAGGTCTGTTTTTGTCCGAGAGCATTAAACTTCCCGAATTCAAAAGGATGCCCTGGTCTCTCCTGGGACCCCCAGGGTACAGCTTAGGGAATGGAGTGGAAACGGGTCTAATGACCGTGATGATGATGGTGGCGACGCTCGCAGCTGTCTTGCAATGAGAATGTGTGACCGCATGGCAGGGCTGTGCCTGGGTAGCGGCAACGCCCCACCACGTCCATTGTTGTCAATTCACTTCTCTGACTCTGGGCCCCAACAAGCTGTGTCCCGTCCTGGGGCATCAGAGGAAGTGGGCTCATTTCTGCAGGGCCCCGCTCTCCACAGACACTCTGCTGAGCAGGGCTGCAAGGAGCAGCTAGGACGAGGGAAGAGAAGCTGGGGTCACCGTCCATCACAAAATGGCTTCCCCGACTCCAACCAGGAAGGAGCTGGGATAAATAATGGGAAAAATTCCTCACAGACAAGCTGTTTTGAAGCAGTTTCTAAACTGCCACCGAGGGACGGGAAGGAACCACATGTGAAAGCGTGGGTGCTGCTGGGAGCTCAGCCCGGCCTGTGGCCACCGCAGGGGCTGGCTCTACTCCTGGCTCCCCCAGCACCCGGCTTCCATCCACGTTCCCCAGGCAGGCCATGAGGGACAGAGCGGGCAGCCCAGGGGCCACGCAGCCTGCCTGTCAGCTTCAGCTGGGAAGAGTGGGTGCTTCCTGGGGGGCCCGCTGCTCAATCACAAGGTAAGCCCTAGAACCGGGACCGTGCGAGGGGTGGACAGTTCTGTGACCACAGCAGCCCAGCTGGCTGGCCCCCAAGAGGTGGGCAGGGACGCCAGTGCATGTGTCCCCTCCCTCAAGTGCTCCTCACCACCCCCGAGAGCACCTTCCCAAAGCCTTCAGGTGGGGGTCATCCGCCCTCCCCCGGAGAAGCCCTGAGTCTGGTGTCTGGGTGTGTGGGGTCCAGTTTTCTCCCACTGTTCTCTGGGGCTGGCCTCTGCCGGGCTTCCTGCCACTCTCCATTTCCTGGTCCACCAAATGAGCTGCCTCCTGGCAGGACTGGTTCCTCCTTCCCTCTCCCAGGCGGGATGGGGCGGGATTTGCACAGCTGTTTGTTGAGGAGCTGTTAGCAGCACAGGCCCCAGGCTCCTGACTGGCTGGAGAATGGATCTTGGGTTTGAGTTACTTCTCTGTGAATCTCCACCCCTCTGAGCCCCGGTCTAGGTAGAAGGAGACCACATCAAGTGGGGTTTTGTTAGGGGCCACTTGATCCTAACCACCATGGCTCCCAGCCTTCCGAGGAGGGGAGGATCTGCAGGAGCAGCGGAGGGGAACCAGGATGGGGATGCTTTGCATTTCGACAGCTTCTCCAGGGTCCTTCCTCGCCTGTGGGCTGGCTGTGAACACTGACGAAGCTCCGTGCGGGATGCAACTGAGAGGACAGACGCGGTGGGGCAGACCTTTCCGGCCTCTCCCGAGCCAGGCGCCAGGCAGGCAGTTTCAGCCATCTGACCACGAGGGAGGCAGACCCGGGACCTCTGGGGATGCTGGGTCCCTGTAGGCCTTTTTGCCTGGACCTGGAATGTCCTAGCCAAGGGAAGCAGCGGCCTAGGGAGGGGAAGGGGCTCCTGTGCCCACGGCAGCCAGTGGTAGGGAGGGAAGGTCTCCACCCTCTGGAGCCTCCCGGTTCAGGTAGAAGGAGACCACATCAAGTGGGGTTTTGTTAGGGGGCTACTTGATTCAACCACCATGGCCCCAGCCCCTATGAGTGGCGATCTGCGATAAGCGGAGGGGAACCAGGATGGGGATGCTTTGCATTTCGACAGCTTTCCAGGGTCCTCTCGCCTGTGGGCTGCTGTGAACACTGACGGGTCTGTAAGGGATGCAAATTGAGAGAGGACAGACGCCAGGGGCAGACCTTTCCGGCCTCTCCCCGCACAGCGCCAGGCAGGCAGTTTCAGCCATCGGACTACCTAGGAGTGCAGACCCGACCTCTGGGGGGATGCTGGGCTTTGTAGGCCTTTTTGCCTGGACTTGGAAAACATGTCCTAGCCGGGCTTTGAAGCAGCGGCTCAGGGAGGGGAAGGGGCCCTGTGCCCACGGCAGCCAGTGGTAGGAGGAGAAGGGGCCCTGTGCCCACAGCCAGTGGTAGGGAGGGGAAGGGGCTCCTGTGTGTCCACGGCAGCCAGTGGTAGGAGGGAAGGGGGCTCCTGTGTCCACGGCAGCCAGTGGTAGGGAGGAAGGGGCTCCTGTGGTCCACGGCAGCCAGTGGCAGGGGGAGGAAGGGGCCTGTGTCCACGGCAGCCAGTGGTAGGGAGGAAGAGGCTCCTGTGCCTCCACGGCAGCCAGTGGTAGGGAGGGAAGGGGCTCCTGTGTCCACGGCAGCCAGTGGTAGGGGGGTCATGAGCTGAGAGACAGAATGACTGAAGGTCGAAACTTGCCTAGCAAAGCCTCCTGAATCCCCAGGTCTTCCTTCGCAACAGCGGGGGTGATGTGGTTGACAAAATAATGCGCGCCCCCCCCCCACTTGCCCATGTCCCAGTCCTGGGAGCCTGTGAGTATGTCCTCTCCTGTGGCAGAAAGGGCTTAGCCAATGTGATGAAATGGAGGTCGTGGAGATGGGGAGAGGCCCCTGGGTCATTGGAGTGGGCCCAATGGTGTCACGAGAGTCCTTACAAGGCAAGAAGGGAGGCAGAAGAGGGGCACACTTTGCTGCTGGTTATGAAGATGGGGGAAGGTGCACGGAGTGCAGGCACCCCAGGAGCTGGAGAACGCCAGCCCAGGGAGAAAGGTAGCCCGCAACACCGATCAGACTCTGGACCCCAGAACCGCACGGCGGGGATATGCGCTGTTTAAGCGATGAACCTTGTGGTGGCTTGTGAGAGCAGCTGGTGAGCCCAACACAGATAGGGGTCTAAGGACACATAAAGAGCCCCCAAGGGGCCCCAGTCAGCCTCGGGGCTACACTTCCCAGGCCGCTGGGGGAGACCCAGCCTGGGTGCAGAGCTGGGCCTGGGGCAGACGGCGCTGGGCAGGGTGCACAGCTCTCTGAGCCTCGG